TAATTTTGTATATGGACGTATGTATATTTCTTATTATTTTATTTATTTTTATATACATAGATATATATACAAATTCATTCTAAGTGTATTTTGATATAAATATATATATATTAATTTTAAAATACAGTTAGAATAAAATTTCATATAGCTATATAATTTTTTAAAATTTTTTATTATTTAAAAAATTATTTAATTTAAATTACTTATTATTTATATTTTATAATAATATATATATACAATATATATAGTTATTATATATATTATATATATAAGTGTGTAATTTAATTATAAGTGTATTTTTATATTAATATAAGTACATATTAATATAAAAATACACTTAGTATGGCATTATATATATGATATATAGACATATATTATATAGATATAATATATGTCTATATATCATATATACACCTATATAATTATTATTATTTTTTTATTAACATTAACTTTATTTTATTTTTTGATTTTACAGGGAGACTGCCTGTCAGCACAGACAGTCCCCCTGCAGGCATGGACACCCATTGTGACCATGTGATCGCTATGTTAAGCGATCACATGGCCCCAGGGGTCCTAAATCAGTGTGGGGAGACTGTCTGGGCTGCAGGCAGTCTCCCCACAACCGGAGCAACACTGATCGCCGCCGGGGGAACGACGGCAACCAGGTAAGTAGCTCAGACCGTTAGGACGGTTCAGGACCGTCATCGGTCGGCAAGCCAAAAATGCCGATGACGGTCCTGAACCGTCCTCGGTCGGGAAGGGGTTAAGCCATTCTATTGTTGATTTACTTCTGTGCTTTGGGTCATTGTCCTGTTGCAACACTCATCTTCTGTTGAGCTTCAGCTGGTAGACAGATGGCCTTAAGTTCTCCTGCAAAATGTCTTGATAAACTTGGGAATTCATTTTTCCTTCGATGATAGCAATCCGTCCAGGCCCTAACGCAGAAAAGCAGCCCCAAGCAATGATGCCCCCATGTAGCGGATAGCACCAGGCGACCCTACAAATATACTGTATATACCTGCATTCGTGTATCTGCTGTGTTTTCTATGTATTAAAGAGAATTGTATTCCTCTGATTGTTCGGTAGTTTCATTCCCTTAGTTTATTCGAATGAAACTACCGAACAACCAGACCTCCCCTGTGTGAAGTGTGTCCTCAATTACCCGTTGCAACATTGTTGCGAACGGGTAATTGAACAGTAAGTAGCCGTCCTTTGTTCTCGGGGGTGGCCGCCATTCGACAAACGAACACGTGGCGGCGGCCATTTTAAAACTCCCGAACAGCGGTGTTTTGCCGTCGAGTGTCTGGAACTAAAATCGGACACTCGAGTAGGCGAACACCGCTGAGACCCTCCACAGCCCTGGTCCGTTCGGTTCCAAACTACCGAACGGCCCCTCGTTCGGTAGATAGAGAATACCGAACGAGGGGATTCAGGCGAACCCTCCCTAGCCTCTATAGCTAGAGGTTTTCGTGTATTTTATTCCCTTATGCCAGGACCGACCGCAGGGCCCATTCACATGGAACCGGATTCGGCTATCTCAGTTCGTGCGGTCGGTCATTTTATTCCCTCCATACTTTTCCCGAACCCCTGGTCTGATCTGGGTGATTTTTGGATATGTTGGTCACCCAGATCAGGGGTATCCGGGGATGTAGGATTTAAAGAGGTACCCCTACGTTTAGGGGTACATCCAGAAACGGGGGGAATTGGTGTGCTGGATAAGGGGATTATGATGCTAGCTGAGGGGAGGAGATGTGTGGGAGGTTACCAGGACAGGATTGGCTACTGTAATAATTACTGTAAATCCCTCCCTTGCATGGGAGCATGCTTTATAAGGAGACTGTGATTAAAGGCTTTCTGTTATGCTCCTGAAACTGTGTGTCGTCCAGTTATTGGGATTGCTGTTGGGATATTGCTGTATTTTACCTGCTGGAAGCCTTGCCTGTGGATTTACTATTTACTTGTTCCTGAGTCCCACTTGGATTATAAGCGGAGATAACCTGGGTAATATTGCATCTCCGCTACACCCCACAACCATACTTCACAGTTGGTATGAGGTTTTGATGTTGGTGTGCTGTGCCTTTTTTCGCCACACATAGTGTTGTGTGTTTCTTCCAAACAACTCAACTTTGGTTTCATCTGTCCACAGAATATTTTGCCAGTACTGCTGTGGAACATCCAGGTGCTCTTGTGCAAACTGTAAACATGCAGCAATGTTTTGTTTGGACAGCAGTGGCTTCCTCTGTGGTATCCTCCCATGAAATCCATTCTTGTTTAGTGTTTTACGTATTGTAGATTCGCTAACAGGGATGTTAGCATTTGCCAGTGACTTTTGTAAGTCTTTAGCTGACACTCTAGGATTCTTCTTCACCTCATTGAGCAGTCTGCGCTGTGCTCTTACAGTCATCTTTACAGGATGGCCACTCCTAGGGAGAGTAGCAGCAGTGCTGAACTTTCTCCATTTATAGACAATTTGTCTTACCGTGGACTGATGAACAGCAAGGCTTTTGGAGATACTTTTATAACCCTTTCCAGCTTTATGCAAGTCAACAATTCTTAATCGTAGGTCTTCTGAGAGCTCTTTTGTGCGAGGCATCATTCACATCAGGCAATGCTTCTTGTGAAAAGCAAACCCAGAACTGGTGTGTGTTTTTATAGGGCAGCTGTAACCAACACCTCCAATCTCATCTCATTGATTGGACTCCAGTTGGCTGACACACCACTCCAATTAGCTCTTGGAGATGTCATTAGTCTAGGGGTTCACATACTTTTTCCACCTGCACTGTGAATGTTTACATGGTGTGTTCAATAAAAACATGTCAACATTTCATTCTTTGTATGTTATTAGTTTGAGCAGACTGTGATTGTCTATTGTTGTGACTTAGATGATGATCAGATCACATTTTATGACCAATTTGTGCCAAAATCCATATCATTCCAAAAGGTTCACATACTTTTTCTTGCAACTGTAAATAAATACTGCATAACACATCCATAACTTTATTTATTCAAAATCTTCTTTCTGTAAAATTGTTAAACATAAATAAGCATAAATTAACATACATACATATATAACAACACACAGTGTTATACAGTAACCCAACCGTCCTTGCCAATAAACATACCGTGGTTCCTAATCACCACTTCCTCTCACCTGCCCCCTCATCATAAATCATACCATTCCAATGCCCGCCATCAGCCGACCTTATCCACGCTCAATGGGCACGATACCTCAGGCAACCTAAAGTTAACTGTTTAAAGCAGGGGAGGTTGAGACTTTCCAACTTATTAACTTACTCCAACCATAAAACATAACCCCACAAACTTAATTGGCAAGGACATACACCTGGCTAGCTGCGACTAACTACCAAAAAAGGGGTGGGCGCGCGGGAAGCTGTCTGCTGGCCCGGTTCCCAAGTGGCACTGCGATAAGACCACTCCCCCCACTAACTACATAGAAACTTAATCCCACCTACATATACTTCCTAAACCACTCTCCCGCATCTATTCCCACACTCCTACATGTGCCCTTGTCCGCTTAGCTGCGCTATCTCCCCAGGGCCTTGTATGTACGTAGTTTCGTTGACGAAACTGTTCATCGTACCTCCACCACCCCAGCCCCCCATAAGTCCTGCAGGCATTCCAAATCGTGTCCTGATAACAGAACAAGGCCGAGCACTTGTGGGGAAACTTCTCACCCACTACGCTGGCCAGAATAGAGAATGCCCGAATCCAATTCCCAAAATTTTTGGGAATCTTTTGGTAACTAAATTTCTCCTTATCCTTATCCGACTCCTTGCTGTCTTTCTCCGCCACAGGTGGGGCGTCCTCCAGCAGCAGGAGAGAGAAAATCTCAACAAACTCCCCCCTCCAAATCTTGTCCATTGTTTCCTGTGTCAAGTGGAGCCCTAGAGGGCCCGACCAGCACATATATGCTGTGCCACGAGCCACATCCGCAACCCCAGCTTTGGGTAAACCGCGGGTCCCAGGGAGGGTGAACCACCATCCACAACTTCAAGGGGGGCAGATGGGGAAGGAAACTGAACAGCCGGGGAGAGCAGTGCAGGGGGACCAAACTGACCGCAGCTGACTGTCTAAAGAGGTGTCCCCACTACCCACCGCCCCCCGCTCCCAGTTATCCAAAAAACCCCGAAGACCTGAAAGGAACCCCCCAGCCCAAGCCCCAAAGCATTAAGAGAAGAGGGACAACAGTACTCACCGGTCGCAGTTTGGCGATCCGAACCCAGAACTGCACGCAAAGAAGGCTGAGGAACCAAAAGTTGAGATCCAGCATCCACAGGAGGCATCTGCTGTGTTCCAGGTGCCATCTGCTGGACAGAGCCACGAACTGCCACCAAGTCCTCAGAAGAGAGCCCCATCTGTGATCCAGGTGCCACCTGCTGTGCTGAGCCATGAACTGCAGACAGGACCTGAGAAGAAAGCGGTGGAGAAGCTGAGAGTACATGCCCTGGAGGAGGTGGCAAGGTAAGTGAACTGCAGGGGGCCCAGGTAAGGTAGAGGGAGAGAACAGGGGGCAACTAGACAGAGTAGGACAGGGACCTAGAAAGGGGGGTTGGAAAAAGGGGGGACAAGAAAGATTGAGAAAGAGGGGAAATAGCAGAGAGGGAAAGGGGGGGAGGGCACAGAGGGAGATAGAGACACAGGGGGCCCAGCCAGAGACAAGCTGGATCCCCCAAGAGACCCCACAGCGGGAGACAGGGGAAAGGGTGAGGGAGCAGGGGACCCAGCATACCGGGAGCCTTCCTCACTGGCAGAGGAGGCTCCTGACCCACAGGGGGATCCCGCCCGCCCCCCAGACGGCGGTAAAGGGGTACCCTGTGCAGCCCCACTCACCACCGACGATCTATAAGGGGGAACGATGCCGGGCGGCCGCCTGCCGCCCAGATGGATCCACCAGCCTCCTGCCTCCCTCGGCCCGTGGACCACCGCTGGCTGCCAGGGCGGGATGCAGGGGGGCCGGCTGGGGCATGGAAGCCCGCTGTGCAGGCCGTGCATGAGGCCTCCGGGCCGCAGGCCGCACGGCAGGAGGAGTCCGCACCTCAGGCCTCCCAGTAGTAGGCCGCGACACGTGCGCGGCAGCCGAAGGCCGCAAATCCAGGCCTCTAGTAGCAGGCCGCGTGTCTGGAGCCCCAGATATGCAGTCCTGTTGGTGCCTCGGGCTCCCAGTCCTCAACCGGGCACGAGGAGTATTATCAGGGGAGAGCCTGGCAGGCGGGCGGGAACGCCTGCCAATGCTGGTGCGGCCCTCAGGGGCAGGGGCCGCAGAGGAGGCAGCAGGGGGGCCCCCACCGGCAGCCATACCTCCAGTAATGTGCCCAAATTGCTCCCTTAGCTGCCGGCCACCATCCAGCGCTGCAGCAGCCCTGAGGGATGCCAGAATCGCTTCAACATCCATCACCTCAAGCTGTGAAGACTACAGGCAAACAGAAGCAGGAGGACGAGAAGAAGCTATCTGCTGGCCGGTTCCCAAGTGGCACTGAGGTAAGACCACTCTCCCCACTACATAGAAAATTAATCTAACCTACACATACTTCCAGGGCCGTCTTTAATATTGATTGGACCCTGGGCAAGCATCTGTTTGGGCCCCCTGGGCATGCAATCACTCCCTCCACCCCAACCTAGAGGCGAAACTAATATAGAGAGTGCCTTGGTGCAACAACAAAAAAATTCAGGCCTGCCCTGTAGCACAAGAGTAAAGAAAAGATAGATCCCCATCTGTCATACAACTCCTGCGATGCTATGCCAGCTGGGGATCTACCATCCTTGCAGGGTTGTATTTTTGAGAAGTGTTTGTGCAAATGAATGTCAGCATGTTATTGTATAGAGTGTATGTGTGCATGTAGGAGTGTATTTGTATGTACTGTTACCATTGGAATGTAGTGGTGTACTTGTGTGTAGTGTTTGCATTTTAATGCAGGGATGTGTGATTGTTTGTAGTGTTGGCTTTTAAATGCAGGTGTACTTTTGTGTGTAGAGTTGGTGTTTGTATATAATTTTAGCATTTTAATACAGGAATGTGTTTGCATGTAATGTTTGTATTTGCATGCAGGGGGTTGTTTGGATGTAGTGTTGTCTTTTAAATACATGTGTACATTTGTGTGTAGTATTAGTGTTTCAGCAAACTGGTGTGTTTGTAATGTTTGTGTTTGCAGGGTTCTGTTTGCATGTTGTGTGATTTCTATAACACATACACATACACATTAACACGCAGATACACACATGCTCACACTGACACATGCTCACACCTTGACACATACTGGCACATACACATACACACACACTCAGATACACACCCTTTGACACACAGATACAAGCACTTTCATATACACACACTGGCACATACACACACACACTGACACAGGTATATACACACACACTCAGATACACACATACATAAAGGTATAAATGCAGAGGTGTATATGTGTACAGTGCTAGAGATGGAATGTAGGAGTGTATTTGTGTTGGCATTAAAATGCTGGGATGTATGCATTACTACACACTCAGATGCACACTTACACACACACCGAAACACACACACACAGGTGCACATACAGGTGTATGAGGTATACATACACACAGAAACACAGACAAACACAGATACACACAAGGACATAAACACAGCCAGATACACACATATATATGTGTACATTTACACATTTTAATCTCTGCCTTCTAGCAGCTCTTGGACAGCAACTCCCAGCAACCTTGGCCAATATAATGTCTCAACTCTGTTCTTACATACCCTGGTCCAGAATTTGCCAAAAGTGACATTTGAAAATGGTGTACAGCCTTTGATAACACTTGATGCAATATGTTAAAATAAATACTTTTTAAATTTATATTTAATAGGGAACTGTCAGGTTCTTCTAGGATTTTTAACATGTACTTATTCCCTGTGTGTTACATTACAAACACCAACACACTTAAATAAAAGTGATATCAGAAATTAGCAAAACAAAAAACAAAACATATTTAGCCACCCTCCTGTCTCCTTACATTTTGGGTACAGAAAGGTGGCTTCCCTGGTGTCCAGTGAGAGCTTGCTGGCCCAGGCTGATGGGAGTCTGCCATCAGCTTTCTCAGTCCCTCTCCCCAACAATGCTTGCATCCTCCTCCATGTGGTGTGTGCCTCCTCCCCAGCGGCACTGAGGAGGAAGTGATCAGTTCTTACTGGGAGGAAGCAATCTGACCTCACTTCCTCCCAGCATGCCCAGGAAACAGAGACTCACAGGGCAGTATGTGAGGGGGCTAGCTGTGAGTATGTAGTCAGCCACCCCCCCATATAACAGGGGCCCGGGCCGGTCCAGAGCAGTATTAAAGGGCTGTGGCCCCTGATTACCTCAGGTGCCGCAGGGGGCCCATGGGGCAGCTGCCCTAGGGCCCCGGGGAGTAACTGGGCCCAGGGCAGCTGCCCCTTTTGCCCCTCCTTAAAGACGGCCCTGCATACTTCCTAAACCACTTCCCCGCATCTATCCCCACACTCCTATATGTGCCCTTGTCCGCTTAGCTGCGCTATATCCCCAGGGCCTTTACAGATCTTCCCTGTCTCTAACTCCCGCGAGACGTGCGGCCGTTAGAGCGTTGCCACGGTTTACCCCCATGTCTCGCGGGAGTTAGAGAGAGGAAGATCTGTTATGTGCTCCGGCAGTCTGCTGGGCCCCCTCTGCAAATACAGAGAGCCGGGGGCCCCACCATGCCACCGGACCACCAGGGATGGAATCTTTCCCCCTCCCTGAACCAGGTAATAAAAATCTTTTATTACATTACATGCATACACTAGTAAACACACACACTCTGCATTCATTACACTAACACAAACTCTGCATTCACTACACTAACACACACACTGCATTCACTACACTTACACACTCTGCATTCACTACACTTACATACACTCTGCATTCATTGCACTAACACATACTCTGCATTCACTACACTAACACACACTCTGCATTCACTACACTAACACACACACTGCATTCATTACACTTACACACACTCTGCATTCATTACACTAACACACACTGTGTATTCACTACACTGACACTCTGCATTCACTACACTTACACACACTCTGCATTCATTGCACTAACACATACTCTGCATTCACTACACTAACACGCACACTGCATTCACTACACTTACACACACTCTGCATTCACTACACTAATACACACTCTGCATTCACTACACTTACACGCACTCTGTATTCACTGCACTAACAC